GCGAAAGTAATAATGGCAGCAATTCTGTTTCCCGAACTAAACTAATGGCTTAGTCTTAATTTATGTGTATTTGTGGTCCTAATAAAGATAATTTATGTGACTAATAACGTTAAAATAAAGTCAAATTGTAGTTAATTTATTTGGAGGGTGGTTTTATTAGAATAAGCACCTAATGAGATCTTAGTGTATAAAACAAAACAATAATGTACGATTGTTTCGTGTATAATGCACCTGTTTGTCTTAATATTCGTTAATCTAATATCAATTCATCCACCAAAAGTCTATAGTGTCGTATTTACGACGTTAAACATCATCAACCTATAAATACACCATTGCACGAGCCTTCCTTATTGATAGAAAGTCATGAGGAGAATGGGCCATAACTTACTACGTGAGCCCAATACAAATAATGGACGTTGATTCCATGCAATAGTGGACAAGCATAATGTACTTTCCGGAATAAGAAACAACACAGCAACAGAATAGTGGTCTCTAATCAAACGTGATATCTTTCGTTTGATCGAAATTAGGATACTAAATGATAAAAACTGTAAGTATAAGTAGGTAACTTAAGATATAATATTGTTACGACTTAATTCGGGATATTAATTGACGCCAATTATAGTTCACAATCAGACTTTATGTATAATGCATTACAAAAATAAATCAACTACTAAATTCATACTTCAACTATTTCAAGTTTCAGAGATCATAACGACGAACGACCAGCTAGTTATTAACTCACAAATACTTAATGAACGTAATCATAAAATTAAAATAGTGGGAGATGATTCTCTTGCGGGTTTGTCAGCTATATTAAAAAAAATCAAGAACTGATAAATGGAATGACAAGTATCAGCCTATGTCTTGCATCTTTAGTGGTGCACCTAGTTCTCATATACTAAAAACCTGCGATGAAAAATTCACGAGTTCCTTGAGTGAGGATGATATTGTAATACTTGGAGTAGGCGGACACGATGAAAACCTATTAAAATTGGAGTCCGAATTACATATTACACTTCATAAATTAAAGTGTTCAACAGTGTTAATAATGCCAGTATATCAAAGCAATTATTTTAATGTAAATTTATTAAATCGTAGGTTGGAGCTGTGCTCATATATATTTCCGAATTGTAAATTTGTAAACCTTGAACCCTATTTTTGTCGAAATAAGAATATCTTCTTGCGTACCCTGACTTTAAAAATTAATGTATTTATAGACAGCGATAAGTATGATAAAATTTTTCTAAACCCTAAAAACATTGTTAAATACTCCAGACGCTCTGTTAAAGAAAATGCTAAAACTGGAAAAGTATTAAAGCAATCTAGTATATTAAATTATTTTTCAATTACCAATGCAATTAAAATAAGATCAATGACTGATAAGCAAACAAATATAGGAATAGATAAAGTTTCTTCATTTTTTCGGACCTAACAGTCAGAAAAAGACTGTGGTAAATGTACTACACCAGAATGTTCAAGGCTTATTGAATAAATTAAGTACAATAGAATTATGTATTGATGAATTTAAAGAACGTAATAAAGAACTTGATATTTTATGTTTTTCTGAGACGTTTGTGAAACGAGGCTCTGAAAACAACATTAGGTTTAAAAACTATAAGTTAGCTGCTTCCTTCTGTAGAGCAAAGCAAAAACGTGGAGGTGTGTGCGTGCTGGTTCGTAGGCAGTTAAAATTTAAAATTCTTGATGTATGTTCTGAACTTTCAGAGGAAGTGATCTTTGAGTGCTGTGCTGTTGAAATACCCACTTATAAATGCATAATTGTATGTCTTTATAGAGTACCTAAATATTCTAATTTATCAAATTTTTTACTATTGTTGGAGCAAACTTTGTACAAATTGACGAAATATAGAACTAAACATATTCTCATTGCTGGAGATATGAATATAAATACTCTGAATGACGATCGTACTACTAGGGATTACAAAACATTACTGAAAACTTTTAACCTTAAATTACATATAAATGAGCCTACAAGATTGGCATCCTGCATTGATCACATCGCAAGTAACATAAAAAATGCCAAGGGTGAAGTACACAGTTTACAATTATCTGATCATGACACTGGACAAACCCTAGAATTCTCAATATTGACAAAAGAAAATTATTTGGCTTGCTGGTATAAGAATATAAGAGACAATAGCAAGCATAATATCGACATTTTTAAGAAATGCTTATCCAGCCTCACTTGGAACGATGTTTATCGAAGTGGAACCGACGTTAATAAGGCATTTAATAGTTTCCATGAAGACTTAGTTTTATTTTTTAATCTTTGTATTCCTACTAAGAGAATCAGAGTGAATATGAATGGTGGTAAAAGAAAATGGATTACTAAAGGGATTAAGGTTTCTAGTGGCAAAAAGCGAGAACTGAGACGTCAGTATGTTTTGTGTAAAACTCTAGATAAAAAAATTAAGATTAATAAATACACCAAATTACTAAGAGCTTGCATTAACAAATCAGAATACATTCAAAATAGTCGATTTATCTTGAATGCTAAAAATAAATGCAAAGCAACTTGGACGGTAATTGGAGACGAACGTGATAATGTAAAGTTACCTAATGAAATTGAAGACATTATTTTTAATGGTACAGTGATAAATGATCCTAATGACATGGCAAAAATATTTAATATGCATTTTATAAAACATAAAGATAATCAAGCTGACATTGTGAACTCTAATGACGGTATAGAAACTGTAAATAATTCTTTGTTTTTACGGCCTTGCACAGTGCAAGAGCTTAAAAAAATTATTACTTCGCTAAACAACACTAAGTCGGTAGGATTTGACTCTCTCCCTACTTTCTTATTCAAGACATGCGCTGACATTTTGGCTCCTGTGTTGACTTATCTTATAAACCTCTCATATGAGCAAGGACGGTTTCCAGATGCGCTAAAGCTCTCTATAATAAAGCCAATACACAAAAAAAATAACAAGCTAGACATTAAAAATTATCGACCTATTTCCCTTGTCTCTGGACTTTCAAAAATATTTGAGAAAGCGTTAGTAATCCGTATTTTAAGCTTTTTTACAAAGAATAGAGTCATTGTTCCGGAGCAATATGGTTTCCAAAAGGATAAATCCACCTCACTCGCAGCATTTATGTTGATGAAATCTGTTACGAGTAACATAGATAAAAAGATTCCGACTATAGCGTTATTTTTTGATATGACTCAAGCTTTTGATCTCGTTGATCATGAAATACTGTTACATAAATGTGATAAGTACGGCATCAGGGGTAATGCTCTGGACTGGCTGGCAAGTTACCTCTCGAATCGTAAACAGTGTGTCGAAGTAACTAAACTAAATGCGGACGGTGAAGTTATTCCATACAGATCTCCATATTTAGTAAATGAACGTGGTGTGCCGCAGGGAAGTGTAATTGGGCCACTTCTGTTCCTAATTTATATTAATGATCTACCAAAATCACTTAATCACCAAACTATTCTATATGCAGATGACGTATCAGTAATAGTATCAGAGGAAAAAAATAATGGTATTTCTACCCTAAATGATACCGTAAATGAGACTGTAAAGTGTGTTGACGCATGACTAACTAGAAATGGATTAATTTTGAATGTTTCGAAAAGCACATTCGTCCTGTTTTCAAATTATAAATCAACTCCTTTTAAGTTAGATATTATTCACAAAGACGATAAGCTTAATGAAGTGAGTGAAACAAAATTTTTGGGTGTCATTCTTGATCAACATTGTAACTGGAAAGCTCACATCAATCATGTTTGCTCTAAACTAAGTAGGTTTGTGTACCTACGCATTAAAGATATTAAGATATACGGCTGGCGAAAGGGTAGCTTTAACCGCTTATTATGGTTATGTATCATCAGTTTTGAGATATGGCATAATATTGTGGGGTAACTCTCCTGACATAAACTATGCTTTCCTTATGCAAAAGAAATGCATTAGAGCCATTTGTGGAGCAGGACCTATGGACTCATGTCGACCTCTTTTTCGAAAATTACAAGTGTTAACCTTGACAGGTATGTATATTTTAGAGATGGGTATGCTTGTCAGACGTCATCCTGAACATTTCCCAAAAATTGACGCTATGAAAAATCCTCGACTGCGTCCGAGAGATGGAACACGATTGCAACAGCAATCATCGTTGGGGAGTGCATTTTTTCAAAGAAATTGCTACGGCATGTGCATTATGGTGTACAATAACATTCCTTTGCATATTAGAAAACTGCCTGCAAGCCGGTTCGCTACAGCTTTGCGTAAATGATTGACTATAAAGTCTCCATATAACCTTAATGAATATTTCAATAATAATTAATATAGTCTGATATTTTGACATTAAATAAAATTATATTTACGAGTAATGACGTAATTCATGTTTATATTTTGACATTATATTATGTTATAAAATTGTAATATTCTTGTTTTGATTGATTGACTTGTGATATGAAATTGTTTAATTTTTATTGTTCAATTTTTATTGATAAATTAATGAAAAAACATTTTTTAATGCCATACTTTGGTGAAATATGTGTCTCTTATTGTAACAAACCAGCTATAATGTTTCCATGTGTCTTGCAAATAAATTTATTCTATTCTATTCTACGGATCCTGTCAATAAAAATACCATCGCGCATTTTATGAAAATGTTACTCTTCAATTTTGAGTTTAATTAAAAATTTAAAAACAAATTACAACAAGCGAAGCCTCTACGAACTATAACAATATATATTCTACACTATTCAATAAATCGAAATTACTAATATATTTTTGATTCAGAGATCAAAAATGCAAAAATATTATCAGTCAAAATGTAATAGGGCTAGGGCCCTTAGATATTGTCCTGTCACACTTCGTTGACACGTCGATGTAGTTTTCTCATTTTCAATAACAGATTATTTTTACTTGTTTGTAGAAAAAACATGAAATAGTGGTTTTTGAGTATAGACGCCTTCTTTAATGGAAACTTGGACTGGAAAAATGGACTGGGTGTAAAAAAACATTAATATCTCAATAATTAATTTATTTGTTACAAATTGCTTATTACCTGTATCTAATGTCATCTAACCCTTTAACTTACAAGTTGGTTTTATATCATGAGTTACTCTGGTTGAAAAAATTATAAAAATAAATAATTACAACACAACCAGAGCCAGAGAGAAATCATATGCATAAAGGGCACATTCGCATTTTCGAAATTAAATGCAAATATAATAACATATAATAAAAATAGATCTTATGACTTTGTAATAAACATTTAAAAGAACAATGTAAATAATTGACTTGTTTGAATAGCCAATTAAAATAATTTTTCTTGATAAAATAATGCCCGGCACATATTTCGTGTTTTATTCAAGAAACATACTAGCAACACTGAAGTCTAAAAAAAAGACAAAAAGAATGTACCCTTTACATTAGATAACAAAATCAGTAAAATAAATGTTGAGCACAATAAATTATACAATTAAACTACTTAACAATCTAAGTAATCCACTTTGGAGTAGATTTGATTGTTACCATAATATTTGCTACAAATGTAATATACATTGCAACAAGACATATATAGTGCGAAGGTATTAATTAAATAATAAATAGTTCCGGAAGCCAGAAAAATTAAGGAAGGAAAATACCGTTAAAAATATACCAACTTTAAATCTTCCTCATATTTCCTATACCTTACACTATTTAAAATTAACAGATAAATTACAAATAAAGTTTAAAAACTAGCAAGCTCTTTAAACTATACAATCAACGCATAAAAATGTGTGTACTTGATTCCTTTATTTACATTTATTTATTTCTAGTAAATCACTTTTTTGTTTAATGGACAAAATACATTAGGTTAGTAGTATTATATATTTTGTCTTTTAAATTATATAAATGAAAATATAAAAATAATTTAAAATAGAACGATGCTGGTACGGCTTGAATTGTGACAAACTAATTAGTGAGTTCATGACGAAAATATGCAAAAGTTTTGTAAAGATTGATACAACAGTATATGTGAGTGTTCAGGCTATATATACTTCACTTAGTACTCAGTGCGAAGGTTAGGTGCTGGATTACTTGGTGGTGGAATTAGTTTGTTCCAATAAATGAAAGTCTAAGTATTTTTTCAATAACTAACTACATACTAATAAATTAATTTTCAATCTTTATGAAACTCTTTGTCATACTAACTTCTGACATCTGCTAAGTCGCGTTTCACGATTGCTGATCTCTTTATTCTACTTTTTTATATTAAGAATAAGTTCTTCGCTAATTTTAAACAATAAAGGCACCTTTAATATGTATTACAATTATCTGTATTTTTCAGGTGGTGTGGTGGTGTATACCCTTAGTACTTTCACATACTGAAATATCAAATTCATGAAAACTCTTACACATTTTTGTCACTGGCTCTTCTACTATAATTCTCGACAATTAATAGGTATGACCAATTTTCACAAATCATAGACATGTGACGCTCGACGTTACTGGCCGTTTGCTTGGAGTTGGCCGTCGACGACCGTTACTAAATGACGTCACAGGCAATTCAACTGGTACCGTCAACAAAGAAATAATAACAGTACCTATTATCTCAACTCGATTTAACTTTTCATCAGTTAAAGACAAGTCAAGTGTTGATATTTTTGCGTAAAGATTTATCTAACTATATAAAACCACAATAACAAAAATCATAACATAACTGAAATTATAATAACGACTGGTACGAAGACTTTGGCGTTGCTAGCGGTACTAAAAATAGAGACTGCCTTAGGGTTGATCTTGTCATATCTAGTTTGCCTGGATGTACTATGCGATGTAACGAAAAGGTTGAGAGTGGCCAATTCGAAGCGAACGGCTAGTAATGTGTTAATTATAAAGGAATCAGTAACCATAAGGCACTGGGCCGATTTGTTAGTTATTTTACTATTACAAGTTCAGGCTGCTTATATACTTTTTTTTTAATAAACAAGACGCTTGATTGAAATTACAAATTCAAAATTCTATCTGTTATAAATTTACTTATAGAAAAACTCCGTAAACAATTTTACATTCCACGAAGTTTTGTTTCAATCACCAACTAGAAATTTAGGCATAAGTTAAAAAAATATACACATATTTTGTGAAGAAAAATATAAAATTACAATTTAAAATAGATTTTAAGAAACGTTTTTAAATATAAAGCATATTTACACCACTCGTAGAATTTCGTTTAATTCCATAAACTATTTAGTTGCATTTATTTTGGCCAATGGGAAAATATCCTTAAGAGCCTAACACTAGACACGAAGAGCCATCAAAAAGCGTGATTTGAACATTTAATATTAAGATTTACTAGCGATTGTATATTTATTTAAAAAGAGTAGTTACAATTTACAGCATTTAACTAATGAATTTATTAAAAATACGCTTAAAGATGAATAATAGAAAACGAGACAAAATCGCTAGATCAACAAAAGAAACAAACTGAGACAGATGATGTCGTATTACAAGAAATATTATATTCTTAACTAGTTAACTTGTCAAAACCATTAAGATTATTGTAAAATAGCTCGATATGAAGCCAGTATTTTCAGCAAAAAAAAAAGAGAATATTTTAGAGGTAATTTTGAAATTTTATATTTAATAAACACTAGATTAAATTAACTAGCCCGCGGACACTGGTGAAATTTTTTGACCGAGACTTTTAATCTCCTGACACCGTGCTTGAAAATCACGTGGCAATTGTCATTTATAACTGTTTTGGAAAAAGAATTTTAAAACTTCTGACTGATTTTCTTCAAAAAGTGTTATGTTAAATAAAGGAAAACCTTTTTTATTAATTTAAATTGGTCTGCGAAAACACATATCAATAACGATGAGTACAAGTTGCACTCATAGCATAGATGGTGACGTTTAGTTTATTGAAATGTGACGTCACATAAATATTAAACAGGTCACAATTGATATTTCTCAAATTTAAAATCTTTAGAATCGGTATTTCTTTACATTTTAATTATTTCTTATAGAAATAGATGTTGTAAAAAAATTTAAGTGACGTTCATGTATAAAACAAAATTGACTTAAGACAGACGTTATTGAGATTAGGGCCAATTTTTAGAAATTTTTAGTTTATCACCTGTATTGATGATATGATGTCATGATCACCTGTAGATTTGCAAGATTTTCACAAGTACTTGTTATCAGATTGGACTGAATGAAAGTTTAGTGAATTTTTCTGTTAAAAGTACATTGTTATTCCAAACGAATTATTATATATCTAATTATTATAAGACGAACAAGTTTGACTTGTATTGTAATCAATAAAAAAACACAGCATTAAACACCGAGATCTTAATTTACAATCACTATTGCTTTTGTCTTTCTTTATTCTAAATATAAGTAATTTATAATTATTTATTTAATTAATATTCACAAATAAAATCAATGACTTCAGTAGCATTTCTCAAAGTGTGACTCTAAGACTCCGCATAGCATATGTTGAGCGTCAACGAAAATGCTTCGACTTCAACTTCGATCTATGTAAGTTAAAGTCTTCTTCTGTCTGGCAGAAACTCCAAAACCCGTTTGGCATAACACCTTTTGATGAATACTCATAAGCCTATTATCGAATAGCCGAATGTTTGTATGTCCGAATTACAACGTCATACTATTAAGATGGTAAAATTCGGCATAATTTGGCGAAATTAAAACTTCGCATAATCTCGTTTGGTATAGCCAAGATAGACCCATGGGGTCTCAACATTTTATTTTCAATATACAAAAATGATTATTGATGACGCCATCGGCATCATTGGCAATTTACATTTTTTTTTTGTATTGGCAGATATTTGTTAATATAAGATGTTTAGTAATTAAAACATATTTTAGGTACAAGAACTACTACTACTCGTATGAATTAACATGACACCTAAAGGCCTATTCTCTTTATAAGAAAACGAAATTTCGTATATTCGCAATTTTTTTTTAATGATTTAGGATGTAATGGAGGAAAGAGGACCTGGCGTTGCCTTCCTACATAACTGTCGCCATTTATTACCGCTCGACGAGGGCTATATACAACTACTTACATAGAATCTTTCAAGATGTATAATGTATTTTTCTGCGAAATTATGACGTCACGTATCTTTTTAATCATTATGCGTATACAATATCAAAAGATGATTCTGACTTCCAAAATTATGAGTTTCGAATGTATGCTATATGAATGCACGCCAAACGACTTTCTGCGAAACTAAGTTTATATTATTCGCTGTTCTGCATAATAAAATTAGGACATAAAAAGTTCTGCTACAAACGGAATCATAAATATTTACGTTTTTAATTATAAATAAACAGTACACATGAAAATTTGTTATTTTTTAATAATTTAGGTTCTAAGTAATCTAACATCTTATAATTTATTTATTCAGAGGTGCCGGTATAGATATTTTTTATACGACGACGATCACTGAAATTAATAAAACAATTAAGACTTGTTTTTACGTTTTGTTATTTAAAAAGTATTATTTAATTCTATACATTATTTTCAACTTTTTTTCGAATCTCGACATAAATTAGATTTTTATCAGTATATATGTACCTTTAAATCTATCTAATACCTTTAAGCAATCAATTCTTGTATATATCTATATCTCGGAATATATCTATGGCTCGTAACGTTTTTTATGGATTTAGTATGCAGGAGATTGGGTATCGATAAATATGTCTAGTTTCATTTACAAAAAAAAAAAAAAACCTAACAAAACTTGGTCATATAGTACAAGAAATATAAATACTTTACGAAAAAACGAAACACTACAAAATATGCAAAAAAAGAAATGTGTCTTAATAATTTTTTTTTTCCAAAAACAGGGTCCAAAAGATAATCAAATTAATTAAGTATCCAACTATACAATCTGGCACCCTTGAATGTATGACGTACAATGTTATGGGTATAATAATTTATAGATGGCTCTTCACTGTTCCATTGTACTTAAAATGCATACTAAGCTATTTGTTTAAAACAAACGCAACAACGTAATTTCAAAAATTACACATCCCCCAAATATATCGTATAATCTCGCCTCTCACTTTGGTGTCTTTTTTCAAATATTTTTCTTTACATTTCCAATAATAAAAAATAAAAAAAAAAACTATCGACAGTTCCAATTTTGGTCTTCGTTCTTTAACACGGCGACGTGTTTCGACGTTTCCCGTTAAGATTAAACTTAAACCTTTCACTAACATTTAAAACGTAGTATTTATTAATTAAAAACACCAATTCGTACATTCCGAGCGTGTGAGAGCATTAGCACATCATATCCAAAATTGCAAAAGTATGTAAACGAGAAATGTTTCGTACACTGTCTTAACGCCAATTGATTCTACACCTTATTACATTGACATTTAAGTTTGCATTAGGTTGTGGAATGTAACCTTATAGTAATAATGATCAAAATAGGTAGAAATATTCTGTATATGATCAAACGTTTTTATTAATATGGATATGACCTATATATCATAAATTTTGAAGTTCCTAGAACTTTAATAATTAAAATCATAGTGGCTACAATTTGGTTAATGCTGAAATAAAATGTACGAAAAAAAATTCTTTCAACTACTATGAGTATTTGAAATCTCAGGATCGTAGGCACATCCATACTATGACAACATTTTTAAAGTAACAAAAATAGTTCTAACTAAGTAAATCACATATTATAAATATAAACTTAAAAAAATCGATTTTAATTAGCTCTTGCTCTTTCAAATGTGTCATTATCTGTTTCAAATACTATGTTTATCACAAAAAGAATATAACTTTCAATAAAGTAGTTTTCTAGAATTGAGTAAAATCAATGTATATGTGTGTATATCTTATAACCACTGCCGTTTGTACACCATGCCTCTCACACACTCAGTGCTGTCCTATTGCTATCGCATTGTATGTTCAGTTAGCGGGGACTTCTCTTTGCTGCTTATGCCGCTGATGATCATAATTGACCAGTCTTTGGCCGACTAGGTACTTATCGTTTTTGATGTGCTCATATAGCTTGCGGAATTGTCGAATCTGCAATAACATACATAAATTAATTATACTATTATACCATAAAGTCGAGTGAAACTTTAGGTAACCTTATATCCAAGAGACCCTTGATAATTGAGTGAAGATTAATAATATTTATGAAAAACTGCTTAAATTATGTGTGTAATACAATATGTCCTATCGAAAATATAAATAAAATTCCTAATGTAGAGAAATCGATCGTCAATCTCTATATCATATAAGCTCATTCGGAATTCCTCAAGCGAGAGTCCTATGGCCATGATGTAACAAAACACAGGGGACGATTGTTTGCAGATGACACTATATTTTTAATTAAAACCTTTATTATCTTAGATCTTGACCTCAATCGTTTCGATTGACATAATACAAATGCTCTAACTACTTAATTTAGGACCTGACCAAGGTATGTGAAGTGGTTCAGTATACATTTATGACACTGCATGTAAATTTTTAATATTTGATTTGATCATCACCAGAGGTCGGAATTAGGTAGAGCTATTTATGTACTTGCACCGAAATATTGATATTAATGTGGACCTTCTCGGGATTTCCAATGGACAATCCCGTGTGGCCAACAATCTTACAACTAAATAATAATAACAACGTCAGAGATAGACAAATAAAACAAAGATAATTAACATAAAAAATTTATTAGTTTACATTAATTTACAATACAAATTTACAATTTGAGGCATATCCACTTTATTCTTTCGAAATCAGTGTAAGTTCATGAATAACTCTACCTAATTCCGACCACTGATCATCACATAATTTATTTAAAAAGTTAAAAAAATTAAATTATCCTAACGTGATTTCAATAAGTCAATTTGAATAGATATTTTGTTACCTGGAACACAGTGAGCGCGCATAGTACCGCGCACAACAAGAGCGCGGGGTACAATCTGCGCGCCAACAAGTTCCGTTGCGCGGCGGAGGTGACCACGAGCGGCGCGATACTGTGAGCGAACGCGTACGGAACAGCGAGCGCCAATCCTAACCAACATACTATTGGCGCAGCCACCTCAGTCAATATGAACCTACGACAAAGTTGCGTTTATTATTATTTACGTACGTACATATACTTTGCGTCCGAGCGAATTGGAATTGCTTTTTTTTATTTGTTTCCGAACACACTTGAACCTGAATGAAACACACTTTAAATAGGAGTTGAATATTTCGAATCTGTACAAAATGATCATCATCATCATCAGCCCTTTATTTCGTCCCCACTGCAGGAGAACAGGGACCATGACCCTCCACGCTGGCCCAATGCTGATTGGAGGGTATTAACGCCTACAAATGCAGCCAGGAAACGGCTTAACGTGCCTTCCAAAGCACGGAGTAGCTCGAAATAATATTTTTTTTGCCACCCACCCCGTAACCGATCCTTGCGAAAGTTGCTTAACGACAACGATCGCTCTTCTTTCATTTTCGTTCGTTCATCACCGAGCTTCTATCGTACACAATGAAAATATGCTTTATTGCACGCAACTGGGAAAGTAACAAATTACACAGCATGGCAAAAACAGAATACAAAAGGCCTCACTGCTATATATCTCCTCCAAGCATGAATTGTGTGTCAAATTTCATCTAATTTTGAGCTATGCCTACATATATCAATTAGTCGTCTATTATAAAGACTTGTAAACATTGCGAACATCTTACAGTATTACTATGTACCACATTAAAATAAACAAATCGAATCGATAAATCGATACACATTGGACAACACTTTGTAGTTATGTACCACATTAAAATAAACAAATCGAATCGATAAATGGATAAGCATTGAACAACACTTTGAAGGTATCGAATTGTTAAATAAAAAAAAAGTAAATTTTCTTATTCTTTAAGAGACACTTAACTTTTATATTACGTAATTTGTCCATGAGATTGAGTTAATATAAATCGAGAGTATTACATAATTACACATACATATTTTATTGTAATTGATATTTTATAATCACTCACTTAAGGTCCATTTCTCGGATGCCGTCGCCGTATGCTTTCTCTATAGCGCGTCGCATGCTCCAGTCGGGGCCCATCATAGTAAGAGCACAAACTATTTTCGTGTATAGAACTCCTAAAGCCCAGTCTTGCCATACGAATAGCACCGGAGATTGCTCGAGCGGTACACGAAGTGGTATCACTAGCACCTGTTTTTATTATACAAAAGTTGTAATTGTTCCGCTTCATTTTTTTTTTTAATAAAACAAAATAGCAATGTTTGGAAAATTGATAAAAAAGGGTTTAATCCACAGAACATAGAGAGATTAGAAGTAGTAAGTGGGCGGGGCAAGCGTGGCTGGCATATGCGCTTTTACTCATATGACGCCCTTTCCTCGGTTTTACGTTTGCCAGTCGTTCGTCAATCGTCGAGTGGTGATTTTACAGATTTTTTCTATAAAAAATACCGTTTTGTGCTATTATCACTTGCAAAAAGCAAAGCAAAGTATACAATCTAACTAATGCAAACATTTCCTTTCACTGGTAAATACAATTTTAGTGCTAAAATATAAAAAACGTACTAATTTGACACAATGTCAAATAAAATATACATTGATTGCTCAAACCAACATCAATGTTTCTGACCCCATTACTAGACAGCAATGTAAATCATTTTGTGCACTTTTGCAAAAAATAGTGCTGTGCCTCCATTTGTCTGAAATGTACCGATAGGCTGCTGCTGCTCGGAATCGTATTGTTAATTATATGGATCGTAATCGATAACTAAAACATATTTATTTAGAGCTTTTCTTTCATCATTTCATAACAACGTTATGGATAAGTATATGCCATAATTATATAAAACTAAATAATACTGTTTACAAGAGAAAATAATAGATGAACTTATACTGAACAAATGAAATAATGAACTATGCAGGCACTTTTTTTACGAAGATTCAGTTAATTAATTACACGCAGATAGATATTAAAAAATTCTGATGTGCTATAAATAATAAGTGCTTGTAATAAAGAAATGAAAATATCTTTATTACAAGCACTTTTGATTCGTCCAAAAATATTTTTTCCCCTACCACTTGTTCAGGACGTCTTTTAGCTGACAAGAAGAACAAGCGAAAGAAACTTACCAGCTCTTTGTCATAAGTAATAACATTTACATAAATCATGTCATTTCATATCAAATCACAATAATAAATAAACTTCCAAAGTCTGTAGAACATATAATTAGTCTTTATAGAACAAAGCGAAGGCTATTAATTCCATGCATTGCGATCCTTAAAATAATCATCAACTTTATAATAGCTATTACTCATAAGTATATTCTTTACATGAAATTTAAATTTATTTATGGGTAGGTCAACTACATTTTGTGGAACTTTATTGAACATAGCAATGCATTTACCCAGAAATTATTCTCTGGTTTTCTGAAGTCTGAAGCTTGGAACGGCAAGTTTATTTTTATTTCTTGTGTTAAGATTATGAACACTACTTTTTTTTGTGAAGGAATCGTAATGTTTTCTTGCGTACTCATATTTTCATAGATGTATTGAGAGGCAACAGTCAAAATATTTTTTTTTTTTAATATTTCTCTGAGAGATTCTCTAGACCGTAAATTATATATAGCGCGGACAGCTCTCTTTTGTACAATAAAAATATCTTGAATGCTAGCCGCAGAACCCCACAACAATAGACCATACGTCATTACACTATGAAAATAACTAAAATATACCAATCTTGCCGTTTCATCATTTGTCAAGAGTCTAATTTTCTTAACAGCAAATGCTGCAGAACTCAGTCTACTTGACAAATTATCAATATGAGGATCCCATTGCAGTCGGGAATCTAGTGTAATACTAAGGAAGTTTGGTCGATTCCACCAACTCAACTTTTTCACTATTTAAATTTATAAGTGTATTAACATTCCGCACATTAGGTAATGCAAACTTTATGCATTTCGTTTTATTTGAATTAAGCTTTATATTATTACTATCAAACCACTGTAGAACATTGTGGAACTGAATTACATTTAACTGTTTAATAACAAAATTTAAAGCTCTTATTTTATCAACTAATATTATGTCCCATCACTAATATGCACAATCGGAATGATACCAGTAAGAAAAAAAAAATAGGCTTAATGTGATTAATACAAAAAATCTGTTGTTTTATTATTTTTGTTTTTTTTTTACACTTTCCCTCGCCTAATTATATTACTCCACAGACATATGATCAAAATCAAAATCAAAATTTATTTATTCAGTTTAGGCTTTTACAGAGCACTTGTGAAAGTCGAAAACTACGCCATCGGTTCGCAAAACTACTGCGGGAGACCTTGTATTGAGAAGAACCGGCAAGAAACTCAGCAAGGGCTGTTTTTTTTCTCCCTGTTTTATTTCACACAGAGAAGTCTTATTGAAAAATGATATAGTTTATCATTAAGTTTTCTTAGTTTTTGTACTGCGTTTTTTTATAAGATATTTTATTAAATTATATAGGGAAAAGCGTTATTTTTCACTATTCACTTGGTTACAGCAAAATCTAATCTTAATAGTTCGCACATAAAATGATGTCCCCAATTTTTTAAAATGTGCATCATCTTAAAATATTTTTTCCCTTTTGGTATCCCCGTATACAAGCTGGACAGTCACGTGACAGTTCAACATTCATGTTAAAGTAAATTATTTATTATCACGTTAAATTAGAGTTTGTTTTTAATCGTGTAATTTTTTAGCTTAGTATCTTTTTGGAATTTTGTTTATGTTATTTGTGCGTTTATGTTTATAGCTGTTATAATGAAAGTTGTAACATTTTTTATATCTAATTTAAAGCCTTATGTATTTTAGCAGATTTTTGTAGTAGATTTTCTGTACTTTTTCAAGTTTCCAAAGCGTAATATTTTCCAAATCATTGACTTAAAATTTGTTTTGTTAAACATTTATAAGTTGAAATGGTTCATATTTTTCGAAGATATAACAAAAACCTGTATTTTCACTTGTTGGACACAAGCCTATTATGACTCCCCTTTAATGACAAGTCCTAATGTACAAGAAGAGTTTGTGTAGTTTTTTTTTTAAATTATCAAGTTATATTCATCAAGATAATTATCACTGCCATATCCAGTGTGTATGACTATATGACACTGACCAGTTCCAGTAGCAGTCCGAACATGAGCGGTATAAGACCGAGCAGTGCCAGCGCTGCGAGCGCGGCGCGCACGCTGACCTTGGCCCACAAGCAGGCGCGCGCCAGCAGCGCCCCCCGCCCCCCGCGCGCCCACCCCGCCGCCAGCGTGCCGCCCCGCCCCGCTGCCCAGCACACGTACGTGCCTACGGACACACCCACATGCATATCTATTACTAGTGGCCGCCACCGCATTTTCCATTATATCTTCGCTCCTAATAGTTGCAGCGTGATGTTATATAGCCTAAAGCCTTCCTCGATAAATGGTCTATTTAACACAAAAAGAATTTCTCAATTCGAACCAGTAGATCCTGAGATTAGACAGACGCTCAAACAGACTCTTCAGCTTTATAATATTAGTAAAGATATAATCCCCAGTGGCGTAACTACAAGGTGGCTAGTCGGCAAGTCGGCAAAATGCCACGAGCCCACAGCTGGAAGGGGGCCCTCGGTCAGAGGAGATTCCTTACTCTTGACTTTTATTATTACGCAATTAGTAAAAAAAATTGAATATCCGATGAATTTGACACAGGCCTCAAAGGGTAAAGTTACGCCACTGATAATCCCCGCCAATTCCTAATGCGTCTAGCCGCCGTTTTATAATTTTGCATTGAAAAATCAGTACCGTTAACACATAAACATTGGATGAGCATGAGTTGGGTTGTGTTGAGATCATTTTCGCAATCTTCATGTCCTATGCAATTAATACACCGACACATATGCGAAACTATGCGAATGTAAACAGAGTTGTCACCTTTGGACAAACAAAATCCGTGACATTCGGTGTATGTACGAGTAAATATGATCATATCACTGAATTTAGAAAACAACTTAAATTATTGCCTATCCGTGAACGCAGGTAGTTAAAGTTAGTATGCACTCTCTTCAAAATTCGATCCACATACTCCTGGGTATTTGAAATCCAGGTTTCAATTCCTAGAATTTCTCATCAAAAATAACGTGTATATATGCATGTTTTGTATTTTATATATGTTATGTATTGATATTATTTAACTACATAGGTTATCCTTTTCTTTCACCTTTGGAAGTTAATGTATATTTTCACTGGTTTGACGGGTAGAGAATGCCTTTTTGCATTAAGTCCGCCATATACTATTTTATAGGCAAAAAAGATTAAATAAAAAATGAGTTAAAATCTAAAAATTTACTTACTTAGTTTTCAAAATTTCCCGCGATATAACTAATTTATTTCAACAGGATATCTGAATTCAATCACAGACAAAAATTTTAATCAAATTAAACTTTGATTAGCAATTTAATAAAACCTCACCACATGCTGCTGTGTAAAGTTCGTGCACACCTTCCGAAACCTTCGGCAGCCAGAGCGCCATAACTTTCCTTCCAATGGCTACTGGTATTACCTAAACAAACAAAAAACATAGTAACTATACTGCTACTTATTACAAGAAGATGGCATGTTATATGAGCGTTCATCTTATAATGCTGTTCTTATGATCTCTACTTTATACTTACCAGAGTGAAAGCACTAGCGAGTACGAGTGAGATGCAGACTAGGACAAGCAGAGCAGCCAGACGCAGAGGAAACCATGATACTCGTACATAGGGCTCGTATCCAGCGGGCCCATCACGGCGCATCAAAGCCTAAGAATAAAATAACTTCTCAATTCAAAATTATCTATGACTAGCTGACCCGGTGAACTTCGTATCACTTACCTCTTAATAAAAACCATATAATAGGGTTATAATTATAATTAGGGTTTAAATTAATAATGTTTTCGTGCACTAATAACTATAATCGCGACATCATGTATTTTTTTACGTGCTATCAAGACGAACCATAGATTGAAAAATATTGCGTAAAATGACCACTACACGACCATAAATATTGATCGTCAACTGAACGTCTGACAGCTAAGAACAGTTTGTATGGGAAAATCAAATTGTCGTTTTTAGCATTATATTCGCAATTTTGTCATATTTTCTCATCTTTTAAACCTTCCCAGGTCTTCCACGAATATTTCAAGTCTAAAATTTGTCAAATCGGTTCAGCCGTTCTCGAGTTTTAGCGAATAAAAAAATACGTATCCCCCCCCCCCCTTCCACTACGCTACGCCACTGCCGAGCCATAATTACATATTAATATAGGTAGATACATCAAGTGTGACAAGATATAAATAATTGCGCTTTTGACTTGATTAACTTACTTCATGAGCAGCTCCTAACTGATGTGGCGGGTGTGGCGGTGGACGGGGGTCAACTTGTCTCGCTGACTCGCCGAGTAGATATGACCGCAGCCCTAAGACTCCGGAAGCGCATAAGCACCATGCTCGAAGACCAGCTTTTAGCCATGTCCGTGTATGAGATTGCTCCAATAGAGCCGGGAGAATCACCTTAAAATTTAATTATAACTAATAATTATAGTATTTGTTTGTTTTCTCAGATACTCCATAATACGGGGGTTTTAGCTACTCATCTTGGAATCTGAGCAATGTATGTGATGTTGTTAAATATTTATTTATTTATTAAGCATGGTAGTCAAATAGAGAATTTCATACAATGACCCGGCATAACAAATCTCTTTCACTCATATAGAAACATATTGGTATTGCACTCACACAGATGCATCTAGTCAATTTTGTCATAGTAAAGTCAACATAAAATGTTTATAAAATTTATGAGTATGTACAAAGGTGAAAAAACTACGTTAGATCATAATAATTGAAATCGTAAGTTTTACTATATATGTTAAAGGAAAAAAAAATGAGGAAAAACTCACCTGCAGCAGTAATAATTCAAGACTCAGCTCATTTACTGGAGCTTCAGTGTGTACGGCTACAGCATATGGCAGGAAACCAGGCAAAACATACTTGATCACCCGTATTGGTAGCCATAACATGAACAGAACAGCAGTACCGAAAATCATCGCTGATACAATCAAACGGCGAATGTGCGACCATACAGACAGGTGAATCATTTCCTTAAACAGAACAGACACATGTCTACTATAACAAAAACACATGAGAATAAAAAATATTTTTCTGCAGTTTTTCTTATACTCTTTCTCACCTAATAAAACGAGGGACTAAAGTTAGTACTGGTTTCAACCATTGGCTGCCTTGACTTGACGATGACAGAAGACAAGACGTCAAGTTGATTTGTTGACTTATTTTGAAACGATAATGGTTTATACCTCGTAACTTTAGTCCTCATTAGAGATGCGCCGAATATTCGTTTGGTATTCGATATTTTTTTCACTATTCTGTTTTGGTGCCGAATATATTTAGTGCGAGTATTCCTATTTTCTTGGCTACACGACATGGTATAGAACTAAAGACAAAACTTCTTATGGAAGGTTTATGTTACATAATAAGTCAAAGAAATCCTATTAGGATTGTGTTAAATAAAGTTAATAAAATAAAGCAATGAAACTTCAAATCATTACTATTTTAAAGAAAAATACTCAAAAAATGATGGGACTGGAACTCACTACTTTTCGCAATCCGGATGATAGCTTTCTTCATATAGGTTTCCTGCTACCAAAATAATTGTTTGCTATATTACAAGGAGCACTTAGAAACACTTGCTGAATAAAAATAGTGAAATGGTAAACCAAATAATTTGTCAAATATCTGGTTCGGTAAAAGTTAAACCAAATTCTATTTGGTTACTTAGTGAAACCACTATTCGGCACGTCTCTAGTACTCATATAAAAGAATGAGGTGTAATAACTGCATATGAGCCTTAATTATGATTATCATGATCGATTGCAATCATCACATATTTCAATTGGATTATAAATATAAAGCAAAGTGTAAGGAAAATGGCAAATATTTGCATTATTTTCACTTTTTTTTTTTACATTTGAATATTAGTGAATATCACACAGTTAACCAAATATTAATGAAATATATTAAATTGTATATGTTGCAAATACCTGTACTGGACTAAAATCAGGATCATTTAAATTTTTCAGGAACCACAAAACTCCTGGTCTTAACACCTCTCTCAAAAGCAAAATGAATGATGCAAAGTAGTAAATGTAGAACATTCCGACGAGCCAGTGAATGAACATGAGAGTCCAGGGAGCTGCTTGGAGGCTAGACTCGCGATCTTTTAATGTTGCATCAAACATGGACAGAGAACATAGGTCCAGCCACCAGCCACATATGAGTGGGATGACTCCAATCTGTTGGAAGATATGAAATCTTTGTATAACAGGCTTTTAATAAAAAACTAATTTATAAAAAAATAAACATGAAGTACAGTCAACAGCATGTCAGTCTATACAAAACTGTCACATTTCTCTAGTTGATTTTAAACCTTAAGAATTGTTAATAGAATTCAAAATCAATTGAGGATATTTGACATGTTGTGGTAGCCTAATGTGTACAAATTAATTATTATAATGAAAAACAATATAATTTAAATTTACAGTATCAAATATATTGATCAAGCAAAAGTTACAGCTTTGAATATTTATATAATTGCCGGAAATTTTGAACCAATAATCGTTTCGGTAATAAATCCTTATTCATTACCACATTCCATGGTCAGGAAGTGTTGCTAAACACATAGGAAGATGTCAAAATTAGCCAACCAATATTGCATGCCAAATGAAATACATTTGTTTCCTTTTCATAGTAATTTCCTCCACAGTAAGGTCTTTTGAAATCCATATATATACTATAAATGGAAAAGTGTGTTATTTGTCCTTTTTGGCATTATAATAGATATTTCTTTTATATTCAAATATTTAAGGGGTTAGATAGTGATATAATTAATTTCTATACAAAAAATACTATTATATGTTTATATTTGACACCACCAGAGAGTCCTCAAGTAATAATTAATTCTTAAGAATATTCAAACACAGCAACTCACCTCAACAACAGACAGAAGAGCTACTTTTACAACAACATAGCAAAATCCCAATGCTTTTTTGACACTTCTGAGTCGTAATAATGATGCTGCTCCATGGAGTACTGCTAAGATCACTTCCACAATCACATAACCAGCCAGTGCTGTCAGGGGTCCAGCAAAACGACCCTCAGTTGTGACTCCAGCTAATACAGCTCCCAGTCTTCCAATGTGGTATGGACAAAAAGCAAAGACAACAATGAACAATGTATTCAATGACACTACCCAGAAAACATGTTCCAGGAATGCCATTGATCCATCCAACCCCAACAGACGTGCCCAAGTCATTTCTTCAGCAGCAGCACGATCCCATTCCATGGGATTCCAATTAGCTTCATCTCCCACTAGTGGATCTTCACCTCCTTCACCATTAGCTTCATCCCTTGCACCTTCATCTGCTGCTACATCATTCACCCTGTCATTATTATTGTCAGGTAGAGGTACCTCCTCAGCAGCAGGTGCTGGCAAGACTTCTCTTTCCATCCAGTCAGGTCCACCTCCGTGCATTATCTGCTCTTGTAGCCAAATCAGACCAATAAAAACAAATAGTGTGCAGGTTACAACAAAACAACCGGAAAAAACGTCTTTAGCCAGATTCTCAGCAGAAACAATGTCAAATGGTAAAGAAATCACCGGATCTAATGAGCCCAAAAACATGCACCTGTAGGTTCGACACGCCGTGAGTGGCACTATACCCAGCCAAGCGAGAGCAACTAAAGTGTAATGTAGCCAGTCTTTAACGGCAGAAGCCACAGAAGTCACTAAGCCACCGACGACATCGCGGATAGGCAGTCGTCGTGGCATATCAGGTGAGTAAATCGGCATGAAAGAGAAACGGTGTCCGCACAACTCGCAAATCTCCTTCCGTGAGTATCGCATCCATTGTACGAGGCATTCTTGATGAATCCATTTTATTGAGCCCGTACAAATACAAGGATGGAAAAGAGGCCGGTCAGATGACGCCTCTGAACGGCAAAAACGACAGAAGTCCGCACCGGACCCGTCTGAATCCATCTTATTCTTCAATCCAGTTTGATTCGAGACAACAGTCTCTCAATTTGGGAAAGTTTTCAAATGGTTTACACGTTCTCACGGTGATTACTCTTAAATTGAGACACTCATCAGAAACAGGCACTTAGTTTTAACCAAATTTAAATCAATAATGAAAACAAGCGATTTTACGATTCTAAACCAATTAACTTGAGAAAAACATTAAAATGTTGAAAACCTCTATCAGTCGCGAACACAGACACTCGCAGACAATAAAACCTTTTTTTCTAGATATTTTCTGTAAAGGAAAAGCGAAGAGAGCTTAGCCCATACAGCCATTGTCAGAGCAAAAACTTTTTTTTTTTGACGTGGATACGTCTATGTTTTCGTTTTACAGGGGGGTCATTCTGTGAGTAGGAGTATATGCACTAACGCCATCTATTGGCGTATAAGTGAACTATGCTTGCTCTGCAGGGGGAGGGGCATTCTGTCAGCAGGAGTATATGCACTAACGCCATCTGTTGGCGCTAGTGAATACTTTTTTTCATTCAACAAATGAACGCAACGAATATTTATTTATTTAGTGTCTTCAATTAGTTTTTTTTTTAATTATTCATTTATAAATGCAATTACGCCACAACGTTGCATAATTCCGGGTTGTTTTTTATCAATTACTCATATATCAATTCATACATAGACGTATCCACGCATAAAATATGGCTGTATCAATGATACAGCCAACCAGGGTTTTTTTGTTTGTTTTGTCTCATTTACTCATATTCTATTTGTACTTTTTCGTATTTGTATTGATATTTAAGTTTCGAACTTTACAAATTTCCGTTTTTTATTATGTTAGTTAAAAAGAACGGAAATTGCTGTCTTTGGTCTATTTGTTTCCTGCAAAAATCAACTTTTGCTAGAGTCGCCATCAGGAAACGAAAACATTATATACGTTATATAACATGTAGTATGTTAAATTAAAATATTACAGTCTAAATATAATTAAAAAAGTAATTATATTTAGACTGTAATATAATATAAGATTATAAAAAACGCTAATGCATTGATATACAGAAATACATAAAACGAGGGCAAAGAAACTATGGATGTGGAAAAGGAAACACAATCGATCCGAATTCCTGGAAATTGGATTGGAATGGAAATTCAAATATTTTTGACTGCTTACTTTTAAGCAAGGCAGTTGTTTACGAGTTTGTTGCTACTGATACGTAGCGACATCAAACACATCGCTGTAGCATTGCCACAACGATTGATAGCAAAACGAACTGCAGGGAGTTTCAACACCCAATAACGAGATTGTGATGTACACTGTTAATTAAGATACTACAAGTAAATTAGAACAAAGGACACCTACATCGCCCACAGTGAATTTCATTGCCAATTCGCATAAATAGAACGGCCAACCTACAACGGTTGGACTACGGTCCCCGGTTCCATAACACCTAGTTCAGATTAGAGCAGACGCTCTGATTGCGACCCATCTCAGGGTGCCAGGAACCAAGTGGATTGTTTAAGCATTTTTCGCTGCTGACGTTTTCCTTATTTCTTGGATTTTTTAAAAAGCTTAGTAAATGATTCTTTCTTTCTGCAGAAGCAGTAAAGTATTCTGTTATCTGTAAATTACTTGAAAGTACTCGATATCTACAGGAATCGATATTTTACGTATCTTTCTAACACTACTTTGACATGACATCTGATGACGTCACAAGGCTAGTAAACAGAATCGTTATTGGTTGTGACAACCACCAATTATGGAACGTTTTCGTCGTTGAATAAATTCCTAAAAATATTTCATTTTCTTCACACACAAAAAAAGGAAAAGTTTGTTTCACTAACATGTGAAAATTCGCGATTTCGTCCACGTGGAAAGTAGCCTTAGTAATTCCTTATCACATAAGCTATCTGCCAGTGCAAGTCCCATCAAAATTGGTCCAGCTGTTTCAGAGATTAGCCGGAATAAACAGACTATAAATAAAATAAAATATATGTATACATTCATGTGTATTTAGTTAGAAACGGTTAATTTGTATTTGTAAAATAAAACTGTAAGATCCGTTCATTCATCGGGAGTTCCCCGACCAAAGAGTAAACTTACCTTTTTGTTAATGCGAGAATTCCAGGGTTGCCATAATAAGTAACAGAAAATCCACTAATAATATTCACACTCGCGATCCGCTAAAGGTTGCTGAGCCGTCGAAGTAAAGTATTAGGTACTATACTAACATTTTAAACTATTCCTATTGCTAACTTTTTAAGAAATAATCAACTTTTAAATTTCGTTTTGTTAATTATAATCAATTAATGGTAAATGATTCCGCACACCACTATTAGGACATTTGAAATGCAAAATGTCAATTTACTGCGAAGAGGAAGAGTATTTAATTCGGACAAACCTGGCTTTCTACGTCTTTGCAAATTTATTAAAAAACATGATATCAAATTATAAAAGTAAGTGTTACAAATTTATCTTTTATGTATTTAAATATTGTAGTTATAGTTTTATTTGCTTTTGTGTTGTCCTTTTATGTATTTAAATTATTGTAGTTGTTTTTTTTTTAGTAGAGAAAGAACAATCTCAAGGAAGAATTGATTAATTACCGTACATATTTAATTATAACTATCGTTCAGTCTCTTAAATCACGTGTCTCTCTCACTACGGGATGTTGGCAAAATTTCCGTGTATAACGGAACAAGTCCATACTGAAAAAAAAAAAAAAAAAGAGTATTTAAATAATTTACTGATTTTTGAATATTGGCAAAAAAAGATGTTAATAATAATGTCTTTAGTAAAGTAAATGATATTCTGTATCGGTGGCTTAATTAGGAATAATTAATCATTAGAGATGACCACCTCTAAAGAAACTATTATAAAAATTGATGATATCAGCAATGGTAATGGAAGGGAAAGTCAAAAAACTGCAATTAATATTTTGTGTTTGGATATTACCCATTATAGTCAATTAATGCAGTTTGCATTATGTTCTGCATTTGTCTTTATATGTTATTTAGCTTATGGGTATTTCTTAGAATTAATATTCTCTGGGCCTGAAGTAAAGCCTGTGAGTTTATATATAACATTAGTACAATTTTTAATGACTATGGTCTTCAGTTATGTAGAATCACTAATAAGGATTCCTATAAAACGAAAGTAAGTATAATTAATTCTTCTTCTTTTCAATCATTGGGATTTTCTCTTGTGGGTTTCGTCAGAACCCAGGGTCTCGCTCACTTTATTTCATAATTTCATTAATAGACTCTGCTTGTAATTTGTAATTAATATTTTCTATCAAGCTCACAATTTTATAAAAGCTTTCTTTAAATAAAACAGTAATTCTGTGATACTTCAACTAGTAAAGAATTGTTTACAAATTATGTTTATAACTTATTTCAGAGTTCCATTAAAGACCTATGCTATTTTAGCTGCGTTAACTCTGGGCACTATGGCTTTTTCCAATTTAGCCCTCAGCTATTTAAATTATCCAACACAACTAATTTTCAAGAGTTGTAAACTGATTCCTGTAATGATTGGAAGTATTATAATACTAGGCAAAAGGTATGGTTTCTTGGATTACATTGCAGCAATAATTATGTGCATTGGATTGACAATGTTCACATTAGGTAAGTTATTGGTATTTTATTTAATAGTTAAGTAAATATTATATTGAATTTTTATACTTTCAAGCTGGATAGTTTTATCCATAAATGAAAACTTAAATGGTTTCATTGTGTTTGTATTTTTATTTTATTGATGTTGGGGACCCTTTACAGGTTCAGTGTCTACGTAAGACTAAGGTGTTGATTGCTTTTAAAAGTTTATCTACCTCTTAAACAATACTTTTTGATACATTCAAATACAACAATTTTATATTTTATGGAAACGCATTTATTTTAAAAATACATTTCACTTATTTATTTATTTATGAAATGAAACCATTTAAAAGTTATTTCATTTAAATGAGTCAATATTATTCATGTTTAAAAAAAGTTTTGAAAATTCACTAGTTCCTGGTACCAAAGATATGGATTTGCATCGATAAACTTTCACTATCCTTTAGCCTTTCACTATGTGGGGAGTTCTCTAACCAATTGAGCTACCTGAAACCCAAAGGGACTGACAAATTTATTAAAAACTTTTTACTTTTGCTAATTATGAACACATTTTCATCGATGTTGATTATAAATCTTTTCAGTCCTTTTTAACTTTATGTATATGATGTTTGATTAATTTGTCATTTATAATGCTAAAAACTAAAAATGTTACATAACAAAAGTAGACCTTAACAATGAAATTTATTTGACAATAATTTATGAGTCAATAACGTTTAAAACCTCACTGTTTGCAATAGCATGTTCAAATATTAATATTAATTAGAGTATTCTTAATGAAAAATGCAAATGCTTAAATTTTTTTTTACTGTTTGTGTGGATTGCCTGAATGTTGATGAAAATACACTCTGTAGTAGTGAAAAAGTAACAAGTGCTAGAAAATTCATCAGTCCTGTTAGGTCCTGGGTAGCTAAGTTTAGGTTAGGTGTCACCCAGATTGCATAAGGTTGTGGATTCAAGTCCCTCCTCAGAGTGCCAAGGACGAATTGGATTTTTTAAGCATTATTCAGTATAGCATAGTGATTGCAAAATTGATCGAATATTATAATTAATTAAAGTATCATATTTTTCAGCTGACTCAAATACATCACCGAACTTTGACATAATCGGTGTGATTGTTATATCTATGGCACTTTTGTGTGATGCAATAATTGGTAATGTTCAAGAAAAGGCTATGAAACAATTCTATGCTTCAAATAATGAAGTTGTGTTTTACTCTTATGCTATTGCATGCATCTACCTTGTCGCCATCACTGGTGTTTCAGGAATAATGAGAGCTGGATATATATATTGCTCAGAGGTATGATTTTGTGTAATACTTCCATAATAATTATAAAAGTTATTCTATGTTTAACAAGCAAAGGGGTTATATGAAAAATATTTAATAAAATTCAAGTATTATCGATTTCTTATACTTTCATCTATAAATGAAACAATTTTTTAAATAGATTTGTATTTAGTTTTATTGACGTTTCGAACCCTTTACAGGTTCCATGTTCACATAAGACTAAGATGTTGATTATATTTGAAATTTAAATATAGATAAATAGATAGTATAACTTTTCAGGATTAACACTGAAACTCATATCAGTAAATTTATATTTATTATCATATGATAAAACCAATTTCAGATGCCTCTAAAATTGTATACAAATATCTTCCTCCTAAGTTTAAGCGGTTATATGGGTTTACAAGCTGTACTGACGTTAGTAAGGATATGTGGAGCTACAGTGGCAGTCACTGTCACAACTATGAGAAAGGCATTATCAATCATCATAAGCTTTTTGCTTTTTAGCAAACCTTTTGTCTTCCAGTAAGTAATAGTTTTTGTCTACTATATTATTATATGTTTTTTTGTATGTACTTAAACTAGATGTATCGGTATACTTTGTATCACCTCTCACCATTTAAATCTTTCTTGGACTACAAAAAACATTTCAAAATCAAAAACGGCTACATCGGCCCAGACATTGTAGAGTTTTAGCGAGATTAACGAACAGCAATTGATTTTCATATATATATATATATATATATATATATATAGATACAATTTAGGGGTACAATTTGAACCAATTCATAATTTTAATGCAACTATAATCGGACTTAATGAAAAGAGCACGGAATTTTTCATTACTTACTTCAATACTCTTTCTTTAAATTATATTTTGTAGTGAATGGCAACACCATCTATACTAACTTACGGGGATTCCCCGTATTTTATTTTGTGCATGGATTGTTTATGACTAATAATCAGCAAGAATGACTTCTATTAGATATATATTAAGTTCAATATTGTTTATTACGTAATGCTTTGACAATTCAAAAAAGTTTTATTCATGGATCTTCAGTTGTTTAGTTCATAATTATTTATGTCAAATATTTTTTGTTTTTTAAAAGACGAAGAAAGTACACCCATCCATTAATTGTAAATCAAACGAAAAATTGTCCTTTGTGGCGATCGAACCACAACACTTTATCCGTGGGCAATTGCATGGCGACAACTAAATCACTCAACCAACCGTGCAGTCAAAATCTAACCTGTATAATGCAAAATAATGATGACAGTTCTTGTCGAAAAATTCTTTAAATTTCATGTAAATTTACACTGCCGCTAAACCATGTTTATTAATAGCAGCAAACGAGTAGGGAATTCAACTAGATACAGAAGTCTGTGATATTTATCGTAGTTATTTAATTAATTTTTTTCCTTTACAGATACGTGTGGTCGGGAATGTTAGTTGCATTAGCTATTTACCTAAACCACTACAGCAAGAAACATCCCCAATATGTGCCAATGTGCCTACTCCACTGCTGGCATTACATGCAGTCCCTATACCAGTCTGAATATAGATATTTGAAGATTAAAAGTAAAATTTATGCGGATACAGTATAAATTTTACAAAATTATAACATACATTAGTAATTTTTTTATGATTGTTCTAAAACTTGTTACCTTCGCTAAGGTACCGCCTGTAAAAAAGTGAACTGTGATTTGAATTAACCTATTATATTTAAGAACAACCGTCACAAGCTTATAGACTAGATGTTGGCTTGAATATTTTCAAGCATGTGTCACAAATACCATACTATTAATGTAAAACAGTGCGTCAGGTTAAACAAAACGGTGAGGTTTTTCACTCGATTTTAAATCTTAAAGCATTGGGTGTAGAGTTCAAAATCAAATGCAGAAAGAAATTGTATTAAACGGCTTAGTCAAAGTAGTCACAAATGTCACCAAAGACCTATTATATTTTGGTATATCATCCAGAATAGCTTCATTCTGCACATTGTCTTATTTCTATGACTAGTCTAAACAGTAGCTAGAGTTTATACAAGCTTATGTAAACGAGTATCTAGCAATTGTTTTCCCGTTTACAGTATCTTGTAATTTTCTATAAATATTATTATCTGACATTATTGACAATATAATTAAGTTGGAATTGCCAATTTTGTGTGGATTTTAGGCAGATCTCAATGTACTCAGTCAGCGTTTTTATAACTATTATTTTTAAAAGAACATTTGATCAACATAAAAAGCTTACGGCCGGTTTCTGAATTGAAAAAACCACGAAATCTCAACTGATTATTTTCAAAACTCGAGTTTTACATTTCAAATGGCAAAAAATCCAAGTTTTATAAAATTGTTATCAGCTGATAAGTAAAAAATTATAAATCTGTAAAGAAAACTTGTTTAATTGACGTTTAAAATGGCTTAGGTCGTTCTCAATTCAGAAACTGGGTGTAAGTTTTACGGTAAGTCTATCTTTTGCCCCTGAAGTATTTAACCTTGGAGTAAATACATATCCAAGTATTTCTACTAGTACAAACCAACATGATATATTATAGCGTTGCGTTAATATAAATTATTTATGACATATATATATTTTTTGTAGATATATTTTTAGGGGCATTTAATAATATAGTAGAAATACTTTAATAAGGCTTATTTTACCACAAAAATAGACTAGTAAAAATTGCTTTTCTAACATTGTATGATGTCAGAGATTTTCAGTTGTAATCTATTAACTGTACATAGGCTCAATACTCTTTACAAATTTTTGGTTCTCTATTTTCATTTTATTTATAAACTAGCAATCCTTGATTTGATAACCTTTATATAGATTAGAAAAAAGTCTCAAATTTATTGTTATTATTTGTTTATATAAATTAGTATATTATATTTTAAAAGGATGAAATAGAATTCATAATCAAATGAATGTAAATGTAAAAGGGATGAATTATAATGAAATACATTATTTTATCAATGACATTTATTTTTCATTGTATGTACAAAATCTTACAAATCTAAATGTTTCATACAAAAGTGTCCAAATTTAACGCGTTTGAATATTTGGAATGTTATTAAGACACTATTTTCATTGGCTTTATACATCTAGTTCAAAGAAAATAATAATAGAAAACTGTTTAAAGCGTTTTAATACTTAAAAGCAGCATTAATAACAGATTAGGGATTGATTTATCTATCAGACAAATATAATTAACAGCAAAGTCAAAATCAGTCTATATTAGATCCAAATCGTAATTTAGTATCGTAATCATAATTTAGTAATTTAAATCGTTTCTTTATAATACAATTTAGCATAATGCCTATAAAATTGTGGGGATATTGGTCAAATTAAAATTATACAGGTCACAATAATTAACTATGCTAAGAAATATGCTCCATCTATGTCTATCATTTGCTCTTAATGTACAAATAACTCTTTGGTATATAGTCCTAAAGCTAATTTTATTTGTCTTTTTACATAGGGTATCCGACCCCTTTGCAAGTGACCAATAATGACTAAGAGATTAAAAAGAAAAATTACTTAAACCGGGTTCTATGATGGAGAGACAACATGTGTAGATTGACGAGTCATTTTATATCGAAACAATTTGCAAAGGAGCCTTGTGGCGTATATATATAAATTACAAAATATTGGCAGTACATACAATTTGTACAGTTAGGAAGGATAAAAATAGTGATGCGCGAATATATCTATTGAACGTAGGCAAAATTAAAAGAGCATAGAGTTCCAGATTTCGATTTTAAACCAGTGTCCTTTATGATGAAAAAATATCACATCTCACTTTAGAATATGAAAATATCGTGTTTGTATTATTAATTTTTTTTTATTGCTTAGTTTTAGTGAATGACTTGCTTTGTACAAAATGCAAAATAACCTACTTTACTACTTAAATGCTAAAGTCGCTAATAAGTAAAGTAATAAATAAGGACGATAGCTAGCAATTGTTAACACTTATCAATAATGTTTCAGTGAATCTCCCATACTAATTTTGTAACCAACGTTTTATTCATCTCCCGTGCTAATGCTAACATGAAATTCATATCACAAAATCAGAAATGAAAAGCTGATCAACAAATCGTCAAGCTCGCGCATTCCTGTATTGTAATTTTAAATGTGATCAGAGTATAAAAATTCTAAAAAAGTCTTTTCTTTTTATGTTATAATATGCACAAATAATCGGCATGGCAGTTTAATAAGCTCCATGGTTTTAACTAAGAAAATGATTCACACAACAAAATTAATTACACAAGCTTCATTGCAATGCATAAATCATTTTCTTTGTCATTTGTAGTCACATGTTCTCAGGCATCGGCTGGACACTCGATAGTCACACAACTAATTCACTATATCACAGCACTAGTCTTGCACTTCTCTGTATGGTATCTCACTGGTCACTGTGAAGGATTCGAAATAGTGATTCAGGAATTCAAAGGTGGGCCTTTTCTCCGGCATAGCATCCCAGCATTGGAGCATGAGTCGATAGATGTCATCGGGTAAGTAGTGACCGACTGGTTTAGGCATTCTGTACCCTCTTTCTACTTGTTCTATGACGTCTTTACCGTGTAGCCCCGGATAAGGTATTTGGCCATATGTGAACAGTTCCATTAACAATATACCGTATGACCAGACGTCACTCTTGATGGAGAATCTGCCATATATGATGGCTTCTGGAGCGGTCCATTTAACGGGGAACCGCGACCCTTGCTTGGGACAGTATTCGTTGTCCTCTATGACCCTCGCGAGGCCAAAGTCACAAATTTTCGCTACGTTATTTTCACCTATTAATACGTTTCTAGCGGCTAAGTCTCTGTGTATTAACAATTTAGATTCGAGGTATTCCATTCCGGATGCGACTTGCGCCGCGACGTAGACTAGATCTTCGAATTGCAAGAACTTTCCTTCGCCGTTCCTTAGGAATTCTAGAAGGGATCCTTTGCTCATGTACTCTTGGACGATGTACACGGGCTCTTGCGTGGAGCATACCGCATATAATGCTACGAGCCGCTTGTGTCTGAATTTTTTCATTATAGCAGCCTCTTGTAGAAATGCTTGTGTCGACATAGTTCCTTCTCTTAACGTTTTGACAGCGACCTGAAAACATAAAGAAATGTAGATTTATTTTGTGCATAAGAATATGATGATAAGAAAGTAGTATTCGCTGTAGAGTAGGTATTTTAAAATGTAAACTAATTAGTAGTTGAGATAGCAGTATTGATCTTTGGATAGGTGAAATGTTTGTTACAATAAATTATGATTTACTAGTTTCTTAGAAGGCTCCGAATCTCAAACTGCAATATTTGATGAAGAACCCTTGTTTCTTGCCTTGTCTCAACATTTATTTTTAACTCATAATTACACCCTAGCCTCTTTTTGTTATAGTTAAGTATGAAGGAGAAGATATTTTTGTAGGAGCTTCGGTACAGATTTTAAAACTATTATGTAAAAAATTTCAAGTCCTAGCTTGAATAATTATGAAAGCAAATTGTATAAAGAACCTCTAAAAGATTTCATTTTAATATTATTTAAAATACTTTTTCCAAAACGATCAATTGAAAGAGCTTCGGCTATAAATTACTTTTTATAAATTGAACTTAGAGACGCAGGTTGCGGACCCCTGCCCCATCGATTGTAAACATTTTTTTATATAAATTAAATTCAAGGGGCGCAGGTTACGGACCCCTGCCCTGTACACTAGCACCGACCTCGATGGTGTTCCGCCACTTGCCGTAGTAGACCTCCCCGAAGTTGCCCTGTCCCAGTTTCCTGAGGAGCTGTATCTCGGTGCGCGGGATCTCCCACTTGTCGCGCAGCTCCGGCCCGAGGTCCCACATTTGCGGCTCCGGCTTCGGACACGGCCGGGCCAACACGTGACACAGACCCAGGGCGTTCTCTGTAAATACATACATATACAACCATATTATAAGAGTTGACTCTAGACTTCTAGATGTAAAAGAATACATATAATGTTTACGTCGTTAGTACACGTTGTAAGTACGCATTTGTGAAATCTCTTCGGGTGTATGGGAATATTTTGCGTGTGCTTTGTCTCGTTCTATTATTAGCTCTATTAAATAGCTGCGGCCTTGTCATTACGGTTTCGCAGTACTGAAAAACGTCGTGACACAGACGAACATGTTTCGTATCCAGGGTTACAACCCGTCTCGATTTCTGATGACTGTCCGAATGTCACGAATTTTGTTTCTCCAAAGGTGACAACCTTGTTTGCATTCGCATAGTTTCGCAGATGTATCAATGACAAATGTGTTAATGACAAATGTTTATTCATACCGATTCGAAATAGGGCATTTGACAACATTCAAAATTGTAGTCTTCCTATAAGACTTTATTTTAAACGAAATAATAAATATTTTTTTGCAATTTAATTACATAAAATAAAATAAAATATTTTTTAACATTTCATCTGAGATGATAACGCCTTGTAAATGGTTGCAACTCCGATGACGTCACACGCTAGTAATATTGGCTGCCTGTTGAAGATTTTAGTTTGAAGAGGTTTGCTTATTTACTTGTGTGTGACATGTAACGGCGTTTAGACATAGCCTTTTCGCGCGGTTTTGGAAATTTAAACTTTAACTTAGGATTTTTATTGATAAATACAGTAAATTTCCCTGAAATATTAATCCTATGTGCTTATTATGTAATAAAGAATAATTCAAATAATTTTCTAATTTTTAAATAATGATTTTTAAACTGTGAGTTACGTTGCCGCAAACGACACTAGAAAAACCGGACTAGTGCGAATCGGATTCGCGCACTAAGGCTTCTATAGCATTATCCATAAAAAAAACACTTAAAATCAGGTAATCGTATGGAAAAACTTATGTATATTTTTTAATATGTTTTTTTTTTTAATTTAATGTTATAGCGGCAACAGAATTCATTAAAATTTATGAAAATTTCATAATCATCTATGAAAATTTCAATTTGGAGACAGGCGGTCCTTTAGCTACGGAACTCTAACATGACGTCATCGACAATAGGCACGGGTGTTCATTTTTCAATAATAATAATAAAAATAATCATTTATTTGCCTTTAAATAGGGTAATAAGGTAAAACTCGACATTCATTTTTTGATTCTCACTCATTCATTATAATGATTTTGGCGGATGGCGTCAGTTTATTTGGAGGCCCCCCAGGACCGGAGGACCGCCCCATCCACCCCCCTTAGTCCTCCAATGTGTACGTAAGTAATATGTGATATTGTCTATTACATATTTATTTGAAGAAAAAAAGAGTACAAATTAAAATAAAACTCACTCGTATAAGACATAACCAAAGCCGGTAGACTCGGAAAGGTCTGGTTTGTAGCAATGTAAAATCCTCCGTTGTCCAACGGCTTGATCTTGTAATGTTTGACATGGTATCCCCTACCCTCCTCCCAATCTTTGACACTCAAACTGAATCCATGAGGGTTATGTTCCGCTGGCCTCACTAAGAAGGTACCCCGGGGATTAGAGTCAGCTAGCAGCAACTTGTCCGCCTCCTTCCGGGAGACGTGCGGGAAGAACCAACTGCAACAGGGCGGCTGCCTTTAGCAAAAATTTCGGATAAGACGATGGTGACATTGGAACCACCGTCACCGTTGACCCAAAAGCTTCAAGCCTCATATACAAATGCTGGTTAGATGCCCGATGATATTCCTATGGTCAAAGGCGATGTAAGACGTGAGCCTACGAGCCTCGCGCCTCAAAGCCAAAATAAATCAAGAAAAGTTTGAATTTTAATTAATAAAAAACGGAGCAAAAGTTAAAAAATATGTATTCTAATTACAGAAAAAAGATGCCTTTTTTATGTTAAATAAAAAAAGGCATCTTTTTTTATTTAACATAAAAAAATCTTTGAAAATCTTTTATCTTCGAAAATGGCTTCATAGCGCCATCGGAGGTACTCGAAAAATTTGTAGGGCCCATATTTCAAATTTTGCCTCCCCTATGGCTATGGCGATTAATGTTGGAAACTTAAAAAATACTATTTCCGGGATGAGTTTTGATAATATAATGGGTAATGAGCATATCTTGGTTAGAGCAGCTTTTGTATTTTGTTCACATGCTGTTCGTGGATGGAATTAATGGCGTAACATCGTTGAATGCGCGATATGAATTAATTAGCAAGTTTTTGCAATGCATCGTACAAGCTCGTGGCTCTATATTCTTGCTACCTATTAGCTCTTTACCATTTTGACTAGCTACTCGTACTTCTTAACAATTTTGACTAGCTACTCAAAATATATATATTCGATGTCTGCGACTCAGAAAATCTATTTATCTATCGGTGTTTAATAAAAATAATTGAACAAATTTAAATTTTAAATGCTCACTACATAATTCTGGTCATTGTTTGTTTTTTCGCCTGCTCTAACCAAAGCAAAGCTGGTGTTCTAACAGTGGACAAATTAATAAGCTCATGAAATGGCAATTAGATTCGCACTTCGGCAGTTGTACTCACTCTTCGCACTCCACTGAACTTTCTTCAGCTACGAAATTGACAGGCACGAGTCCTTCTCTCCGCGTAGTCAGATGTAAGACCCGCCACCAATCCGGTTCCGTATCGCTGAGCACTTCCATACGATCGCCCTTGCGGAACGATATGTCTGAGTCTGCTCGGGCTGTGTACGCGCATAGTGCTTTCACTATACGCCGTCCGCCGTTTGTCATACCTGGAATTAAGCCACGATTTATTATTATTTAATTCTTTAATATGGACAAAGGTACAGTTAGTAAAAAGGAAAGATAACGGGTCAAACTTGTATTTACTGTTACTCTGTTACTATCTGGTACTTTCAGTATTGTCCTGGAATTTGATTAAACTCGAGCAGTGTATGGCAACATTGCGAGGCAAGAGTAATTTTAAGACGAGATTTTTTTAAGAGAGTTGATAAAATATATGTAAATTTGATTTAGGTAATAGGTCTAGAGGTCAAATTGAAAACTGTAAAGAGACAGTAATACTATTTCATGGATGCTCAGATACTAAGCCCAAATATTTACCAAGCACCGCTTTGATGTGATACTTTGTGCCACATATGAGTGAAACATTCAGCTATCTCGTGGATAACAAAATATCGAGATCACTAATAGCAATTATTGTGATATCCAATATATTTAATATTTTGATAAGGTATCAGATATTATCTAATAGCTTATAGCTATGTACTTATATACAACAGTCTCTATAAGAATGTAGACTCTTGATCGACTCTATTGTAAGCTTAAAAAAACAGCAAAATTGAAATCTTATTTCAGACATAGATCCGGAATGCCGATAATGACATGATAATTTAATATTTAAAGTTATTATTTTCTCATAAAATTTGCAGCTTGAAAATTAACATAACCAGTATATACAAACGGTTCAGTGCTTATTCTTGCTGGTCTCTCTCCGGTGAGCGGACCTCAATACGATCATCGAAACATGGCCGTGTCATGGTCTGCTGGGGTTGACACACTCCGAGACTGACGGGTGGGGTGAGGAGGAAAGTCTAAATTGGAATCTCCAATGTTGCAGGCTTCTTAACTCAAGAGGAAAGTGGAGAGGGGTTGCTTATTAACGCATCCCTCATTTCTGCTAGGCTCAACGCGGGTGGCTGGCAACTGCCCGTGCAGTGAAGGGCAAAACACTGCTTTGACCATCAGCCCTTTTCTTGCCATTCGAGACTTCGAGACGTCATAATTAATGCAAAGGCAAATATATTACTTTACCGTGTACTTGTGTACAAATATATTACTTTAGCGAGTGTTCTTCAAAATCTTGAATCATGGTAAAACTAACATCGTTGATAACTTTTAAGTGTCAAAGTTCAGTGTCAAATTTTTTTGTAACTTATTAAAATGTTTATTTTTTAATTTCAAACCTTTTTTTGTAAATTTTTTTGTAACTTATTAAAAACCAAATCCAGGTCACAACCTTAAAATGACTAAAAACGGGTCATCTGCCCTACCTACAACTCTACCCGCTCAGGTCACGAGTATCTCCCATTCTTGAAGAAATTTATACCCTGACGAACTGCAGTTGTATAGTGTCTTGATTATTAAAAATTCGGTTTTAATAAGATAGTTACTGACATTTTCCTGGGTTGCGCGTACGCACGATGTCAGCTAGAGCACGATGTCCCCTGTTATTGGGTTCGCCAGTGTAACGTGTCTCTAGCGAGGGGCACGCTGTGAAGCCGGCCTCATTTTTGTAAGCTGGATACACTGGAACGAAAATAAAAATATGTATTTATATCACAGTTAGGTAAAATGAATGAATTGATAAATTTCGCTTTTATTTTGAATTAATCTAACAACTAAAGAATTTATCTTACAGAGAATATTTATGTTATAAAACATTATATTTAAAAAATCACTAGTTACCCCTCGGCAACTGTCCGAATAAGACTCGAGGCGTCTGCTCTAACAATATTATTATTATTAATTGACAAATTTGACTTATCGGTAATAGTGATACATAGCCTGCGAAAAATTCAACTGTATATAGCTAGATATATGGGTGGCCAAATAAAATTAGCTAGAGCTCTTTCATGCTTCCGAACTCTGTATTCATAAACAACAAACAACCTCTATTCCGCAATGGGCCAGCGTGGTGAGTTTTTGCTCGTTTTCCGATTCCGTCTATATAGACATTCTGGTAGAGTCGCCCACCGACTGTTTTCCCAGGTCATTTCTTGGTTTTTATGGTTGGTTTAAGCTTCGTCCTGGGTTTACAGTAGTGAGACCGAGAGTGAAATATTGTATGGAGAACTTATCTCGCCTTGGACCCGTTTCTGGAATCTCTAGACTTAGTCATGCTACGCGTGCTGGTTTCCTGTTTTTAAACTTAATTATCCTGGGTTTCCAATTTTTTGGGGTTTACAACCCTTATATAGGGAAAGCTTAGGAGTTCTAGAAAAAGCAAGCAGAAGATATTAATAAGATGACGTCAATGAAAATACTCGTATAGAGTCTAGACAATGATAGCAAGATTATGAATAATTTTTACTTGATTAGAAATTCGCAAAATCTTCAATAGGTACTGGACGGATTTTCTAAATTCTCTCACCTATGAGAAGCTACATCATAGGCGGTGAATATAGTGGGAGTGGAAGTTTATTTAGCGAATGAAAACGTTACCATAGTAACGACCAGTTATATAAAAAATATCAATATCACCAAAAAGCATGAAATAAAAAATTTAAGATAGAACTAGCTTTAAAAACGTGATAAATAATACTTATATCAAAAGCGATTTATTCAAGAAAATGTTATTGAAGTCGGAAGCCTATCATTCGATTAATAAACCTTCCAAAGACCTCCGTCCGGCTTCAATAACATTTTCTTGAATAAGTAGCTTTTAACAGGATTTTTTTTTCGATTTTTCACAAGTAATAAGGTATTGGGTAAATACTAATGTATCCAACTAATAATCATTAGAACTCGATCTTTAGCACACATTAATTACAACCTCAAAAACAATGAAGACGACCTCAAAGCACTGTTTTGTGTGTAAACTAGTAACACAGCGATGCAAATTAAAGCTAAATGGGCAACTTTGTGAGGCGTGCGAAAAATCTTAACTCATTGTTCGTTTCAAGGAAATGGTTCCGCTCGACTGTTCTAAGGTATTTATAAAATTCAGTGGCGTTTTCGGAATTTTCACACAACTGTTATGTAAGCCGTCTTTATTTTCTTAACAGCAAGAGCTATTATCATGTGCGCCGTTCTGCTCTTTTGGTTTGCTTTATTTATCGTTTTGATCGGTGACGTAGATTTTTTTAGGGAATCCGATGTTCTCGGCGGTATTTAAATTAACTAAATTAATTGCGTAATAACGCTCTTAAAATGTAGAGGTTTGATTTCTCACGCAATAGGGGATTAGAATAGGATATATACAGACTTTTGAGTTTTTTATTTACATAATTCTTAATTTAGTGTGATAGTTACGATTCGCTAACTTATGACGTCTTAAACGGGTTAATTTCAAACCTTATAACATTAAATATATTATTTGTTTTTACGATTTTGTTCTTTTTTTGAAATTAACGAAATGTATCGATCAATAAAAATTGACAGTTCGTACTTTCGAAACTTTACACAACCCAGGTAAGTTGCGTCAAAAGTTTGGTTAAATACTGCAAAGTAAATATGATAATTTATTTTTCATTACATTACGAGTCTCAAGTCATGTAGGAGGTAAAATTGTAATAACACGACACAATAATTGACTCGGTAACTGACGGGCGATAACTTACACTGTTTACGCACCTGACCTTTATTTTCGTTACGTAAACAAAATTTTGCAACGCGATATCTTGAAACATCTAATTTACTTCATGAAATCAGTTGGAACGCAGAAAAATAAAAATAATTTCTTATATGTATATCATTTATCGGTTTGTGAGATTCTGATGTAAGCAATCATCGAGATAGAAGCAAAAACAGATAATTATCAAGTAATGCTGTAATCAACTGTTATCAATAATCAACTGTTATTCGACACTTTTGATATAAATGTAATCCCAGCGATTCCTACAGAACGTATTGAAATTTCCACAAAACAAACATTTACTTATCCTAAAAGGTTTTTTAGGGTTTGTAGCTACTCGCTGTTGTTACAGACCATTTGTAAAACTCTTCTTCCAATAATCACGCTTCTTTACAGTTCTTTTGTTCATTTCTAAAAAAAAACGTGATTTATTTATTTGGAATGATTGAATGTTAAAACGTCAATGTCGCCGTTTACTTATCTCTTCATTTCAGAAGGTTTTGTAAGTAATCAATGTTAACTACCTTTGATTTCTTTATAAAACTTTTTAAAGAAAATTTTGTTTCTTTCACTTTTTTTCTTCAAATTTAGGTAATTCTCTTATTACTGAAAACTATTATTATTTTTTAATAAAAGCAAGACATATTTTTAATTTAATTACTATTAACTTATATTTTAACCTTTGGTTTGGTAAGAATTTTGTTCACGTTTAGCGGCGTTATCCATACATCGTATTTACAAAGAGGGATACGATCCTGGCTATCAATGATGGCCGTAAAGTTTCCCCAGACGAGGCCATTACGCTGTGAAAGGTCCTTTGTGAACAACCAACTATGGGAAGTAAAAAGAGTTCTTTTAGTTATGTCACAGACTGATATCCTTCTAAAAGAGGAAAATGTAAATGTTAAAATGAAATGCAATAGGTGTAAACGGATATATTAATTAACTATCAAAGAAACATTGATAATTAAATAAACAATGTGAATGTATATCGATTCGATACGTACATAAACTATATATTTTTGGAAACAGTATGTTGCTGCATCGATGCATCGGATTCGGTATCTCCCTCGATATCCGAAATTTATAGATATGGAATATCAAACCGTATCGCATCATAATAAAATTGCACCTATGAGGGCGTTTGGATTTGTGAGTGAGTGAAATGGCGAGGCTTAGCATATTAGAGGTATACTTGTTTCCATACTTTTGTGTATATTTTGGCACGTTTTTAAAAGACTTAATTTTGTAAAGAATACGAACCATAAGAATATAGCATGCGTGATGCTAGTTCATCGTACGTTGGTTTTTTTTTCCCGTGTTAAATTAGCAAGTGTTAACGTGACAAGCTGCTTGATTTATTTTGCTATTTGTTTGCGATTGTGTTCAGGATAGCTTGTGGTTACTGACTACAGATTGTTTTACACATACATAGTTTCAAAGAATATATTCTCGAAGTTTCAGAATTCGACATTGAATATCGATATATAGTTTCTCATCGATATTGTGAAAATTTTGATATTACCTACCCACAGCTACTACACCCTAAATCAGTGAGTCATTTTAGAATGCCAATAAAACAGTAAAGAATAATTTCTTTAAATAAGATAAAGAAAAATAATAAATACGAAATTTACATTCAACTAAATTTAGTAAAATATACCAAAGTAGCTGGTCTGTGTAAAAAGGACGTTAATTAAAAACGAAATGTATTCCCCAAAAAGTCTTTCGCAATTCCACACTGGAATTTGTTGGCGATGCGAACAGTTTTGAAATAAAATTTTAATGGCAGATAACTCCATTGATAATATCTGAGCCTTTGAAGAATAAATCATATTTTTTCTTTTTACAATTTGGTGGCAAATAATAGGAGGTCAAAAAGTGGGGTTGTGCCTAGGGCGTCTTAGTTTGAAGGGCGTTCGGGGGCTGTCGTGCAGGGTTTACGAAGTATCATTTTCGTTTCCAGGGGAATTTCATTTTTTTATAGATAAGCAATAAATTGAAATAAATTTTAGTTAAAAATTCTAGTTGGAAATGAAAGATTTTTAGCGAAAATAAAGGAAGACTGAAAAATACCAACATAAGAAAAAAAATATAATTAAAAGTTTTAGCAGTTGCTTTAGTGCTTTTCAATAATTAAAAGTACTTAAGCAACTGCTTAAACTCAACAACAAATATTATAGGGATTCGGCTACCTAACTAGATGACTCTAAATATCATTGGCGTAGTTTATTTTAAAATTATAAAGTATTATAATTAGTTAGTTATTATTACTATTAGCCATATTATATAATAATTTGATTCATACCAAAAAAAAGAGCGTTTCTAATTATTTTTGTTACCATATTACTTTGGAAAGAGTGTTTAATTTTATTAAAGATGTCTATCATTTGTTACGGCTAAATACGCACTTCATTCGATTTTAATAACAAGCTATATATATGAATAAAAAAAAAAATATAACGATGTTTTTATTTTTGTTGCTAAAAATACTTTTTCAGAGGTGAGCAGAGAGTAAGGAGGGAAAAAACCATATTTCGCACAAATGTCCGAGACTTTTGGCATGTTTATCCGGCGTCAGTAATTAAGGTGATGGCAACCATAGTTGTGCCGGTTCCTTACCCCAACGCAAGAGAACGCACTTCGCAACGGGTTTTATCAGGTAGACCAACTACGCAAGCTTTGATTTGCTCTTCAAAGCTGGTCCTATCGGTTATCGAGCCCCGGTTTGTGGCATAAGATGCATTTACCTTGAAGTAACAAAAAAGGGGGAGCTTTTCATAAATTACATCACAGATTAAATGGGGAAGAGAGTGACGTAGTGAAAAATTGTGTTACACATTCAAATTGTTTTCATACTATCGGTACATGATGTCAGAAAATGAATGAACGGCAGTATTATTCCAGTGGTATATGGTTTATATAAAGGACTATTCCAGTTAAACTCACCCAAAGGTCTGTCGGGATCATGACGGCGGCTACAGCACTTGTTACCCATGGCGCGGCCCGCCCGCTAACGCCGCGCCAGCCGCTTCTAAAACAATAAAAACACACTTATTAAGTTTTTTATCATTTTTAATAATGTAAGTTGTGAATAAAAAACTTCTGAACATTCTTCAACCACACAGATAATAAAGTTGAAGAAATTCCTATCCAACAGTGAAGAGTAAAATTGTAACAAACGACGCAGAGATTAGGAAAGTGATTTTATTAATACCATTTTAGGTCTATTTTCTGGAAATCAACTTGTATAATAAGATAATTACTAACAACAAAAAAAAAAAACAAATTATTTATTAAGCCTAATGACGTACGATTAATAGTTGTTAGCATTCTGGTGTAGGTACTATATGTATGTACAGTAGCAAATAGCGATAACACCTCGCACGTAATACAACATAATCTATTATTACAATCAATCATGCATGATACAATTAACGATATAAGAGCTTATTATAATAAAGAATCTAATGAAATAAAATAGAATTAACATTCATAGAAAAACATCGTTCCGAAATTTTATTAGGTGGATCTAAAGCTCCAAGCAGACTAGTATAATCAATCATCATCAGCCCCACTGCTAGGACATAGTCCTTTCATAAGGGTCTTTCTTGCTAGGAATAGACTTACAAGGGGAAGACAGGCTGTAACCCACCACAAGACCAATTCGAATCTGAGGGTGTAGGATGGTCAGAGAAAATAAACTCAAAGAAATATACTCTAAAAATTCTTCAGTCAAAGACACCTTGTGATGAGATTCTAGATCATACTATTGGTATGATCTAGAATCCTTTCTCATTCTAGGCGAGTGCTCTTTAATAGTGTTGTTTGAAAAACTACCTTTTTTACCTATGTCATCCAGAATTTAAAAGAGAGTACGTTAATTAAAACAGTGTTTACGCGAAATTTGACTCTGTGCCTTATTATCTTATTACGCCTGCAAAATGCGAAATGGACAGTCTTTTACTTTGCACTCAGGCTTAAAATACATTTCTTAAAGAGCAAATTACGAACCTCCACAGATAATAGCAAACTTAGAATTTAACATATTTGATTTCAACCACAGCGATATTCGAAAAAAATGCACCTCAACCTAAACCTTCGCCATAAATTACTCTGCGTATTGGTGAAAACTTCTGCCCAATTGTTTTCGAATTTATTGCGTTCATTCGGATGTTTTGTGAATGCCGCTACTACATGATGTGTACACGATGTGAACTGCGTTATATATTTATTTACATTTAATAGCGAATATTATTTAAAACACATTGGATGTAATCTGAACCCGTGTTTTAAAGTTACGTACCCAAAGGAAAAAAGGGGCCCTATTATTAAGACTCCACGGACAGTCCATGTTACCAAGCTTGTATCTCACGAATATACCCAGTTAAAGTTAGACAATTTAAATTTTTATACGTTTTAACAACAAATACTACAAACAGAATAAAATAAATACCTAAGTATTTAAGATGGAGGAGTCCAATACAAAAAACGTATTTTTTTATAGATATTTTGTAGATGGTACGGAACCCTGGTACAAACGATGGTAGCACCTATTACCGGGAACGAACAAATCGACGTTTTAGGGTCGGTGCAAATGTCATGTCATATATTTGTCAGTTCTGACATTCCGTGACCGATAAGCACGCGAAGCATCTACCCTCAGATGTATACCGGCATATAAAAAATATTTTTGTTTTTCAGCCCTTACCAACTTATTAGAAAACTAGGATTAAAGTTAGAATTTGTTTACACTTTCTGTATGGTATAAAACATTAGACACCTAAAGCAAATTGACAATGACACAAGAGAAAATGTCAAATTGAGACATGTTAACTTATTTTGGTCGGATAATAGTTTAAGCCTGATTACCAAAATTAATCCTCCTTTTATAATAAGACAGTGTATTTTTTTAAAAGTCTAATGGAAATTTATTGTTTATTGGCAGAATATACTGTTCTATTGAAAACTACTTTTATATTCAAATGGAAAACGAAAGTTAATTATGTAAACGGTCGTAACATAAACCAGTCCGTTTCATAGATAAAGCGGACCCATGCTACGACGAGATTGCAAGAAGGTTGATCAAATAAACTTATCTACGTTATGCGAAATACAACTATTTATTGAGGTAGGATAATTTAGTATAAGTTACGGGTAGGTAATATGCTATAAATAATGTAACGGAATTCTTGGAGGTGTAAGTCGTTAAAATTCAGTCAGTCTTAGAATAAATATAATAGATTGCCATCGAGCATTCGATTGTATCATAATAAAGTACAAATACAATAAAGTACACGGCGCCAGACATAACCAACAAACTTTGACTAAGTGCTCACAATGGTACTAGTGTCACATTTTTATGGGCTTAAAGTTTATCTACACCCGAAGTGATCAACGCTTAAAAATAATCCACTTTGTCCCATGTCCCATCTCAGTACCAGGGACAAAGAGGATTTTTTAGCATTTTCCAGTATAGCATTGTGAATACAAAAATTATCAAATCAGAAGGCATGTGTTAGCGCTTACGAATCGGCATTTCGAAGTTGCCCGAGCAGTAGGGGCTAATATGTTTTTGATGATAACTGAATAATTTCTTTATTAGGTAATTAATCGATAACGAGCCGTAAACTTATCAGTGTGGAGTTCCCACGACATTAGTTGCTTGATAACATTTGATGCATCGTTAAACGATATCGCTGTTTATCACCTTGACAAACAAAAATATTTTTATGGAAACGCGTACTAGAGTGGGCACTTAAACTTTGAAATTAATAGAAACGTGTTCCGTGGGCGTAGTTTATCGATTCGGACACCAAATTCTAATGAAAGTTGCAATTAGACTCAAAGATTACAGTATAATAATTTGAATCAGGTTGTTATGCTTTAATTACACTATTTAATTTGTAGTTGCCACTCAGTTCAGTATATGTAAAATTATTAAAAAAAAAACTACATCTTCAACTGAAATATTAAGAGTATTTTATTTGATGATGTATTTTAATGGTATTTTAGTTTAATTAAAATACCATTAATTTACATCACCATTCGCAATAATTTGAAATGTATCCGTAAAAGAAACAAAAATGTTGCGGATATAATGTTGTAATATAATTATGGCCAAAGATTACTTGAAGGTAGATTTATTGATGAAATAATTTTAAACGAGAAATAAAACAAACCCAAAATATAATAAGATTTTTTAGTCTAGGGAGTAGTATCACTAATTTCTATTTATGTACAGCAAGAGTTAGTGAAGACAAATATACCTCTGGATCTTAAAAAAACCTTTTTTTCACCGGCACCGAGCTCTTTGACGGTTATTTCTATGTCTCATTTTTACGATTTAGAAAAACACCTGAGGGAAATATCTATCTTCAACTTCTTTTGATTGTTTTATTTTGTTTTTTAGCAGCGGCGTCTAGAGATCGAATTGTAGTGCCAGACTGGCAATTAATTATAAATTATATTCATGATAATACAAAGCGTTTCTAAGAATTTTGATTTGTTTTTTTATTTTATTGGGCGTCTAATTCATTGACTTTTCTTGTAAAAGTTTTGCTAATGAAGTTCTTAGTGAAAAAATCATGAATACTTGAAAATTGGTTTTTAATTTTATCGTGCCAGAAGCAGGTTCAATGTGAACAGCAAACACTCATCGAAATTTTTCCAAGCGGGACATCAAGCTCTGAACTGACATCTCAGACCCATATGTCCAATTTATTTCTAGTTTTTTCTATTTAAAAAAAATGCAACAGTCTAAAAATAAAGTTCTTGAAAATTACAAATAAGAACTTAAATTAATGAATGGAGTCGAACTACAGACCTCGTTGACCCATAAAATGAGATTGCGTTTATGTCAATTCCTGAGAAACCAGTTATGGAATCCCTGATGTAAACATCTGATTTGTCATGTCAAGTGACATCCAACCTTTCTTTCATAGGTCATGATATGTCTTTCCACCAGATAAGATACCATATTTATTGTTTAAAGCAATAGCAAAAAAAAAAAATATTGTAAAGCCATATTTTAGAATCCAGAGTTTTAAAGATGAAAGAATTTTAAATCGGTCCTGTAATTTCATAATAACAAACATTCATATCTTTACTCCTTATAATATTTTATAAGACACGAGATTTTTAGGTCCGTGATCAGTTAATACAATCCTTTAAGATTAAATCTGCAAACGTTGATTATATAACCTAAGTCCGCAAAAAATGTCTCCGATCTTCATATTGTGATGCTTCAAAAAGAAGAAAAAGCCTCTGTTTCTTAGAAACTCATGTTTGTTTCTAACATACCGTTTGTGGTTATTGTCGCAAACATTCTATTGCTCGAGATTAATGATTTATCAACAACTGCTTGAGTAATATTCAATATGTATGTATACGATAACGTCCAGTCGCTAGTGGTATTTGATCCAATAAACGGGAATCGGCATTTTGGTAGGCCAAGTTTTAAATTATTTTACTACAAAACGATACAAGTTACCAACTATTTACACATAAGCTAATATGGCGCTGATTTTAAACGATATAAAGAAGAAATCATTACCATAGCCAATTTATTAATAAATGCGCCCATAGTAAATAGGATAAAAGCTCTATTTACGGATATAAATCCTTGGTTACTTATCTACTACTTATGGAAATGTATATATAGTTTTGTAACCAAGGAAATATGGAAATATTTCCTTGGTTACAAAACTGCGTCTGTTAAGAGGTGTAAACAAATCATTTTTCAGTGTCATACGCACACGTCACAAACAAACAGGGGAGCGGCTCGAGTTTATTCACGAACTATCGATAAACTGCAACAAGGTACGAACTAGCACCACACAATCGATTTACACCCGCAACTTTACCGAATGCGTTTACATATTTTCTATAATAGGCAACTGGTATCTAATCTATAATAGAACGTTGTAATCTGCACTTTGCCCATTCATTTGTCCATTACAATATCATATTAAACTTAGATTAATTATAAGATACGTCGAGTCGAGATAACTGAAGCCTGCCGCGCTCCCAAGCTTTTTACAGAGGTTTCTCATATATTTTAATTAGGAAGCATAACGTAATATTTCTATCAGGGTCTTAGAAATTGTTATTTCAATGTCAATGTCTTTTATTAATTATAGCCTATCAGTATAGATCCATCATGACAGCTGTTAACTTAATTAAGATGAAGGTTCAGTAATGATTACGTATAGTTGACCTCCCGAGACTCGTAAGTATGTACGACGAGGTGCACAATTTGTCTTAGAGTTTGGAGAGGAAGAGAGATAGATTATCAAAAAAAAAGAGATTAGTGAGCTACGAACCGAATTCACGAAGACGAAAGTGAAGGTTATGGTGCACTGGAGAGACGCGGGCGGGGGACGAGACGCCCCTACCACCTGTTGCTGCCAATCAATAACACCAAAGCACTATTGTTCCCCTCAAACCGGTAAACTGGGCCCCATAGCCGAAACCTTCCAAACCGAAACACATTAACATTTAACAGCAGACCAATTGAAACCCTGCAAATTACGTTTACAATTCATTGTCCATATTTGAATCGTTAGTTTAGTCAACGAGTTACAATCTCAAGTCGAGAGCTTT